TTGTTGTTGTTGTTGTTGTGGTTATTGCTATTTCGCTGTTGCGCTTATGTTTTTTATGTATGTATGATCGCATGTGGGTGCGATGCTATGAATTACCGAATAAGGTTAATGGACAAAATGATCTTAGTGAAGTTTGCAGAGGTTTGACTTTGTAATTGGCTTTAATAGTGTTCGGGTTTTATTAATCGAATTTGTGAGAGAGATTATGGGGTGTTTACATAGGGTGATGAAATAAGTGCAATAATTCTCGAACAATTTGGTGCACCACTTAATATCGGTTTTTGGATTATACATATGTAGTTGCAAATGGAAGTCAGAGATCTTATTTAACCTCCAAATTTTAGCGTTTACTTATATTGATTAAATTTGAGGTCAGGTTCGCTAAATAGATCATTAAATTTTGATAAACTATTTTTAAATTAATTGTTTGTACGTGTTAAATTGAAATTTAAAGATATAACTGTGTATTACTATAAGGTTTTATTAATATTGCACTACATTAACTATTGCTATTTAGTGATTAAAAATCTTCTTTCTTTCTCTCTCTCTCTGTTGCTCAAACTTAACTTGCATAATGCTAATATAATAAATCAATCAACTACAACGCTACTTCTATTAATGTTGATTACTGACTACCCGTCAAAATGGTTTAGAAATTCCTAAATTCCTCTGCATGCAAAAAACGAGTTTTGTTTGCGAATCAAATGCATATTTTACATTTCTCTAAGTGGTCTCCCCGCACCTCCGTTGCGTATGGACTTATCAAGTGAATTGGCAATAGGCAACAGGCAATTGGCCATTGGCAATTGGCAATTGGCAGTTGGCATCCCGTGAAACGTACTCTGTGGTTGTTGAAGCGTGAAGCACTTCAACTTTCAAGGCGGAGGCATGTCATAAGCATTCAAAACTAACCATAGAACGTGTTAAATAAATAATACTTAAACACAAGACGCGGACCCGTAATACCTTTCTGCTCGGTTGTGACAGTTCTCAAGTGGGTCTGACTTCTAAAGTGGTTAATTATTACGTTAGCTTTTAATGGCCATTAGCTCGGCTTACTATCACATGTGATTGTAATTGGATTAATTACGGCAAGAGATTGATTATGCAGTTACAAAGCAAAGATAATCAATAGCCATATATATATATATATATATATACATATGTCTATCAGTTAAATATATATACATATAT